ATACGAAAATTTTTAAAATGGTTGCAATGACAACGATATTTCTACAGACGCTGTTGCTCGTGTTAATATGTAAACATATTTCTTTAACTTTCAAATTATACATGCTTCAAATGTGCTTAAAATTAAAACAGTTAAAATGCTAAAAAATTAAACCATATTCTAAATAGAGTAAATATATATGTATGCATGCATATGCAATTACTTAATCTGTGATATGTTTACTAACTTTAACAATTTATTTATTTTAACAACTTTTATGCAGAGAAATGTAAACAAAGTGCAATAAACTATAAATAGCTTAAAAAAATTACTTTGAAAAAAAATAATAACCAGGGAAACCAAAAATATGCTCTAAAAAATAGTTTTAAGCGCATTAAATATGACTTGCAATTGTAACCACTAACCTATTAACATACTTTTCAAAGACTACTATATATCGTGCTGATTGCGCAGAAGTAGTTCAGTAACGTTGTGTTATACTTTCTAATTCATTAGTATACGTTATGTATGTATACGTTATTTCACACGATTTACATATGCGCTAACAAATCAATGCCAGAATTATTAAATTGTTCTTAAACGTATAAATATCTTGACTATTAGTCCATACTACGCACCATATTAAACACGTATTTGTATATTTTGGTTTCCCTGCTAATAACCTTTGTAAAATTTTTGGCAAATTTAAATTACAAATTGATTCTTGTAAAAACATCTTTTAACAACAACAATTTATTTAGGCAAATTTTAAAATTTTTAAAAATTCTGATAAATCTCTTTGTGACTTATGGACAATAAATAGGAAAATAAAATTGTAAAGAAATTATGTTGACAATTATCACAGATCAACGGTAAGTGCGATTTGAATTTTGAAGATTTCAGAGAAAACAATATAGTGGGTGTTATGCGTTTGTGCTGGTGTTTGTAACACCTAAAAATATTGGTCCTACACCTATCTTCAAGTATACCAATAGGTTCAGAATTACTTTCTATGCTAAACAATGTCCGCACGTCTGTCTGTCTGTCCGTCTGTGTGTTCATGTAAACCTTGTGTTCACGCTACAGGTCGCAATTCCTCCTCCTCTTTTGACCTTTTGAAAATATTTGAAATCGGTCCATTATTTCGCATACAACCGTACCCCCCGAATAAAGATTTTGAGCTTATAATAATGTTAAATATTTTACAATCTGTACAAAAATCGGCAAATCTTAGTTTTATATAAGCTTAAAGATACTACCAATCTTCGTAATGATAGGGCCTCATTTGAACCTAGGCCCCATACAAAGTCCCCTTCAGAAAATGACTTGAAGGTGGAAATGCGCCTTTAAACACTACTACCACATTGAAATTCTGCATAAATACAGTAAAGTTATCGTAAATCGCTCTAACAAAATTTATACGCGTAGGACCATATTTACCTTATCCCCCATATAACCGCTCTTTTTTAAAAATTACTTTTTTGGTAACAAATTGTTAAAATATTTCGGAATTAAGGAAAAATGCTTTATTAGTAGAAAAATAATCCACATTTTTAACATACTCACTGATGTAGGGTATCATATTGTCGACCATACCCGACTATTCATTCTTACTTGTTATACCCTCCATCAAAAAATATGGGGGGTATATTGATTTTGTCATTCCGTTTGTAACACATCGAAATATTAGATACCCATAAAAGTATATATATTCTGGGTCCTTATTAAATTCTAAGACAATCTAGCCATATCCGTCTGTCTGTTGAAATCACGATATAGACCACACGAGAGGAGCTAGACAGTTGAAATTTGGCATAAACATTCTCTAATGTTTGTTTAGTATTGAAAATTACCCATTTCGGTCCACTTTTTCGGATAGCCCCCATACAAGTGGATCTCCAAAAAACAGCTTTAATGGGCATAACTGCTTTAGAAGTACGAGTATAGCGATGAAATTCGTAGTAAATAAGTTTCATATGAGCCAAAATCTTTCTACCAAAATTTTTGAGGATCAGTCCATAATTGACCCAACACCCCATATAAGGTCCGCTTCAGAAAATGAATTTAACACTCATTACTGGTCTAAAAATTCGAGTATAGCGATGAAATTCGGTATAAATAAGTTTCTTACGAATAAAAACCATTTAACCTAATTTTTTTAGGATCGGTCCATAAATGACCCTATCCCCTATATAAGGTGCCCTTCCGAAAATGACTTTAACATTCATTACCGGCCTATAAATAACCCTACCCCCTACATAAGGTCTTCTTCTGAAAATGACTTTAACGCCCATTACTGGCTAAAAAGTACGAATATAGCAATATAATTTTACACAATTAAGTTCCTCGCGAGCAAAAATATCTTTACCAACTTTTATGTCGATAGGTCCATAATTGACCCTACTGCTCCTACTGGGTCCACTTCAGGAAATGGCTTTAACGCTCATTACTGTCTTAAAAATACGAGTAAAGCGATGAAATGCGACACACGTAAGTTTCTAACGAGCCAAAACCTCTTTACCAATTTTTTTTGGATCGGCGCAAATACTATAATGCTCATTAATGGCTTAAAAATGAATGTAGTGACGAAATTTAACACACATAAGTTTAATGCGTGCTCAAATCTCTCCACCAAATTTAGGGAGGATCGGTCCATAATTTATCCTACCACCCATAAAAGGTCCCCTTCAGAAAATTACTTTAACTCTCATTACTGGTTAAAAAATACGAGTATAGCGATAAAGGGTGATACAAGTATGTAAGTTCCTCGCGAGCCAAAATCTCTCTACCAAATTGTATGTGGATCGGTCCATAATTGACCCTACCCCCAGAAAATTAATAAACGATCATTACTGACTTAAAAATATAAGTTATAAAATACGATTATGAAATTCGCTCCGAATTTCATGCGGAATGTGTGGGTAATTCCATTCCATACCCCATATAAGCCCCACTTATAAATTTACAATAACGCAAATTACTGGCATAAAAATGCGAGTACAGCGATGATATTCAATGTAAACAAGTTTTATATGTATACCGGAATCTGTCTACAAAAAGTTATGAGGACAGGTCAACAATAGACCATACTCCTCTTTAGAAAATTTGATGAAGAAAATTCAGAAAATTACTAGTACAGTGATGAAAATTGACATAAAAAAGTTTATTCTTAGGAACATAATTCTTCATTCCGAATTTATAATTATATAAAATATCCTTATTATATAAATATTCAATACCATACTCCGACAAACTTGTGGGTGATAAAGGGAAGCCGATGTCAGATTCTGATTCACGTCCTATATTAAGAAATCCATATAGATTTATATCCAGAGCAAAATCGGTGTAAACTAGTGTAATTAAGTGCAAAATATTTCATAATTGCATAGTAATTAATTAACTAGTTTATGCACGTGATATTAATTCAAATTAACAATTACTATTAACTTTTAAATTGTGAGTAATAACAGAGGCAAACTGCAATTATTGGGTATGTGTTAACATAATTTCATGCAATTCAAATTTCACTTACATATATGCCTATCGGGAAAACCTGATGTGATTGATAAATTTTGACACCAGATTCGGATACTGTACTGCTCAACCCTTTATACTTTGGACTCTGAGTAAATAATTTGATGGCCTGTGTTATTGACCGATCCGCATAACATTTATTTATGTCAAATTATATTGCATGTTTTCTTAAGACAGTTTTGAGTCTTGAGGTCATTTTTTGAAGTTGGCCTAATAAGATCTCTAGCTCCTTTTGTTAGGTCTCCATAGTGATTTCAACATACTGTTGGACGGACATGGCTAGATTGTATCAGAATCTAGTGAGTACCAAGATTAGACCAATATTTCGATGTGCAACAAACGGAATAATAAAATAAATATATCTCCTATCTTTTCTGATAATTTCATATTACAATAAATGAAATAAATAAGTTTTTATTTGGCAGCAAAACTTAAGAATTTGCAACCATTTTCACGAATCAACTTTTGCCATTATACAATAATTGTTGGCTGACAACCTTTATATTGTACTTAAGAACAAAAGTAATGCAATTGATTTAACCGTTTTCAGTAGAGTGAAATTCAATAATGCAAGTAAGTGACTGTTAAATGGCTGAAATGCAATTACTGTCATGTTTTTAATTACATTTAATTTAACAAAAGAGGCAAACTGCATGTCGTATGTGAATAGCAAAATTTTCTGAGAATTAAAGTGGAAAAAAGTAGGAATATACAAATGTAATGAAAGATATGTACATTAGGTTGTTCCAAATATTACATTATATAAAGGCCAAATGGAGTTCCGAAAAATTATAAAATTTCGATTACTTTTAATGTTACACAAAAATTCTAAAACGATATAGCCATGTCCGTCTGTATGTCTGTCTGTTTAAAACACGAAAGAGTTCGAACGGAAAGAGCTAGAGGGTTAAAAACAAATATTCCTTTATATAGTCCCACGTTTTCGTATAGCTCCCATGCAAGAGTACACATACATATATATCTATGAAATTAGAAATAAATAAGTTTCATATTAGCCAATATCTGTTTACGAAATTTTATGGGGATCGATCCATAATTGACCCTACCCCCATATAAGTCCCCTTTAAAAAAATGAGTTTAGCGGTCATTACTGGCTAAAAAAAACTACTATAGCGATGAAATTTGACATAAGTAAGTTTCTTACGAACCAACACCTCTCCACTGAATTGACCCTACCCCCCCCCCCCCCCGACACGGCAGGTGCTCACGTTAAAACTCTCGACAGTCTGACCCTACCCCCCATATAAGGTCCTCTTCAGAAAATTACTTCATCGCTCAGAACATTACTCTTACGCTCATGACTGAATTGAAAATAGGAGTATAGCGATGAAAAAGTATTATACCAATCGAAACCTTTCTATCAAATTTTACGATAATCGGTCAATAATGGTTTGAAAATAGAACAAAACTATAACGTTTTTAAAAATTAATATTTTTTAATTCAAAAGAGTCCATAATTGACTTACGCCATATTCCAAATATCACCCTTATGTATATAGGGGAGCATTTCCTTTGCTGGTGGGTATATGAGATTCGGCACAGCCGAATAAAACACTCACACTTGTTATCCATACAAACGGGACAACCCTAATCTTTATGTATATCGTCGTTATGCACGCATAAAGGCAATTTGAAATAAGTCCGTCCTTACAACCGATTGATTCTCCATGTAAACCGAGTGCTAAAAGAGTGATGAAGAGATCAAGTAGCTTAAATTACCTCTATGAAATACAATAAAGTTAGTTAAATATAAATCTTAATAAACTTTAATAACGAACAGTTTTCAAAATTTAGTTTTCATTTAGAAATATATGTAAGTATCGCAATGATATTTGACATATGTAAATAATTTCTGTATGGAACCAAATTCCTTTATCATGATACATTATCCCGTTATTTAACAAATTTAACTAAAACATAAATACAGTATTTCTTGTGTTACTCATACGCTAAGTTGTTTCAAATGAACAGATTGTAATTTAAAGAATGTGACTTAGATTATAACAACTAATATTTTGGAACCGTTATTGAATTTAATGTAATAAATCCTGAAAAGGCTCTAAATTTACATATGTATATAAATTTGTTTACCACAATAAAAGTTGAATCCCTTTAATATTTAAAAAATCTACAAAAGTATAATTTAAACCTATTTCAAATCAATTTGCAATACATACCGTCCAAACATTCATTGAAATGTTTTCGTTTTTTTGGAGGGGTGTATATTCCAAAAAACACTCCTAGTGTCAACAAATATATAAAACAATGTCAACAATTTCGCAATAAATTAACTAAAAACAAGTTAGAGTGCTATATTCGGCTATGCCGAATCTTGAATACCCTCCACCAGCAAGCTACTTTTTATTGAAACCCATTTAAATATCTAATTTTTAGATAACTTGGCAAAATTTTTGTTTCCTTATTGAGGGTACTAACATTTATGCATATGTCAAACTAATTTTAATTAGGTCGAGAAAAATGTATATTAATAGGCCAGTTTGAAAACATTTTAATATAATGATTAACTGTACACAGAACATACTCATTTTGAATTTTATCCGGATATAATCATTTAATTACGAATTAAGTGGTATTAAGTGATTTTCAGAAGTATACCTTATATGGGAGCTAAGACAACCTATGGACCGATCCGGAAGAAAAAATCCGTAGAATGATTTATATATACAAAATACACATTTATGTCGAATTTTATCCCGATAACTTTGATTGTTAATGTGCATTTGAGTAATTTTCGGAAATGGTCCTTATATGGGAGTTGTGACCAATTATCAACCGATAAGGAAAAAAATTCGTATAATGATTTATATGCCAAAAAAATTCAAGTCGAATTTTACTACAATAGATTTATTAATTAATGAAATATGTGCGTTTAGGTGATTTTCGGAAGTAAACTTTATATGTATAGGAGCTACGACCTTACACAAAACATATTTGTGTCGAATTTTATAAAGATATCTTTATTTGTTAATGAAATATGTGCGTTTAAGTGATTTTTTTGAAGCAGCTATTACCATATATGGAACAATCCGGAAAAAAATTGGTAGAATGATTTATATGCTCACAAAACATATTCAAGTCGTACTTTATCCAAATAGCTTTATTATTCAAAGAAATATGTGCGTTTAAGTGATTTTCGTAAGTGGACCCTCTATGGGAGCCTATCCGGAAAAAATTTCGTAGAGTGATTCATATAAAGACAAAATATATTTGTGTCGAATTTTATCAAGATAACTTTATTTGACAATGAAATATGTATTTTTAAGTGATTTTCGGAAATGGGGTTATATGGGAGCTATGACCAATAATGGACCGATCCGTAACAAATTTAGTAAAATGATTTGTATGTATACAAAACATATTTGTGTCGAATTTTATCCCGATATCTTTATAATTCAATGAAATATATGCGTTTAAGTGATTTTCGGAAGTGGACTTTATATGGGAGCTATGACCAATTATGGACCTATCCGGAAAAAATTTCGTAGAGTGATTTATATTTAGACTAAACATATTTGTGTCGAATTTCATCAAGATAGCTTTATATGACAATGAAATATGAGCTTTTAAATGATTTTCGGAAGTGGGCCTTATATGGGAGCTATGACCAATAATCGACCGATCCGTAACAAAATTAGTAAAATGATTTGTATGTATACATAACATATGTGTGTCGAATTTTATCCCGATATATTTATAATTAAATGAAATATATGCGTTTAAGTGATTTTCGGAAGTGGACTTTATATGGGAGCTATGACCAATTATGGAACTATCCGGAAAAAATTTCGTAGAGTGATTTATATTTAGACTAAACATATTTGTGTCGAATTTCATCAAGATAGCTTTATATGACAATGAAATATGAGCTTTTAAATGATTTTCGGAAGTGGGCCTTATATGGGAGCTATGACCAATAATGGACCGATCCGTAAAAAATTTCGTAGAATGATTTGTATGTACACAAAACATGTTTAACTCGAATTTTATCACAATAGCTTTATTCATCAATGAAATATGTGAGTTTAGGTGATTTTCGGAAGTGGACCTTGTATGGGAGCTATGGCCAATTGTAGACCGACTGAGATCTGCGTTGACAGTATAATTTCTGTTCATATTATATTTGCATGTGCAAAATTTTGTGTTGATACCGATATATTTGAGCGAGTTATTAGCGATAAACTAATTTCCGGGAATATATACCTTTGTATGGGTGCTATGGGAAATATTGGATCGATTGTAAAGATTTTCAACATAATTGATCACCGCCATGAAAAAATAATGTGTGACAAAATTCATCGAAATATCTTTGGTAGTTTCTGAGAAAACTGCAAAAGAATGATGAAAAAAACGTAATTTTTTTCGAGGTAGTCTGAAATTTTTACTCATAGCTTTTTACGTTGTGAACCGATTTTGCTGATTTTCAATACCAAACTGCTTAGGATAACAATAAATATTTTGGGTGAATTTGGTTGATTTCCTTTGCTTAGTTTTAACGTGAGCGTGTTTTACACAGACAGACAGACAGACAGACGGACAGACGGACAGACGGACATAGCTAAATCGACTCAGAATTTCATAAGGACCCAGAATATATATACTTTGTTGGGTCTTAGATGAATATTTCTTGGTGTTACACACGGAACGACAAACTTATATATACCCTCTATCACCACTGATGGTGGTGGAGGGTATAAAAATGCCTTGTAAAATACTTTCACAATTGGCACAATATAAATAAAAATTCCAAAAAATATAACAAACAAAATAGACACAAAAACGTGCGTATAATGTAAAGAAAAAAAATTCTAGAAATTTGTGTCACACAGAATATTGAAAGTGACAATTGGCATATTTTTTCAATGAGGCTTAAAAACAAAACAACACCATCAACTAACGGCGACAAACCAATAGCATAAAACATTTGTATAAACAATTTTTTTTTTTTTTTTTTTGTTAAATTCAAGAAAATAAAAAACAAAATTTTCTGAAATGTTTTCAACGGCTATTTACATAAATAAAATAAAAGAAGCGTTAAAAAAAATACGACAGGAAAAAAATAACTGTAAGAAAACAAAAAAAATAACAATAACAACAGATAAAGTATGAGAAAATAATCTAAAAACAGGAAATGTACTTTTATTAAGTAAAAAGTATAAATGTTAAAGTAAACAACTTGAAGGACACCAGACGGGTATTAGTGATATTGTATACACACATATCTAAGTAGTATTTGTATACAAATGATTCTTTTAAATAATGTTTTCTTCTTGTATATTTTGAGTGGCTATAACAAAGTTTTTGTTTTTATTATTATATTATGACAAATATACATAATTATATTAGCTTTGTCTAATTTTCTATAATTTGGAATAATTTTGAAATAATTTTGGTATAATGAAAGAAAAAAAAAAAAAAAACAAAATGAAAATTGAAATAAGTGGCGCACTAAGTATATCAAGGTTCATTAAATCTAAATGAAATGATTACAATGTTCCCAACTAAATTGATTGACCTTAAAAGAGGGCATTTTTGACTCGAGTTCAATTAAAAATCTACCGTACGCGGGTCCTTACTACTCAAAAATAATACCTCGTATACTTATATGATAGTACGATATTTATATAAATTACTTTGACTTAAAAAGGCATAAAGCTAACTTTTTACTATTATTATAATCTCCACCACCATCAGTGGTAATAGAGGATATATATAACTTTGTCATTCCATGTGTAACACCAAGAAATATTCAGCTGAGACCCAACAAAGTATATATACTCTGGGTCTTTATCAAATTCTGAGTCGATTTAGCTATGTCCGTCTGTCTGTGTAAAACACGCTCACGATAAAACAAAGCAATAGAATTTAACCAAATTCACCCAAAATGTTCTTCATTTTCCTAAGTTGTTTGGTATTGAAAATGGGCAAAATCGGATCACACCGGGAAAAGATATGAATCAAAATTTAAAACCACCTCGGAAAAAAATAAGCATTTTTACACATTCTGATATAATTTTCTCGAAAACTATGGAAGATAATTCCATGAAAATCACCATACGTTCGTTTCAACACAAGATGTTGATCCCTGCATATTCCCGGAAAATGGATTTTTTGTTAATAACTTCCGTCACAATGAAGATATCTTCACAAAATTATACAAATTAAAATGTTATGTCAATGGAATTCATACAGAGAAAAAAATTTCTAGATCGGTCCATAATTGGACATAGCTCCCATACAAGGTCTCCTCCCGAAAGTCATTTAAACGAGCATAACTCATTACTAAATTATGGTATCCATATAAAAGTTGGTATAAGTCTTACCCGTATGCATAAAAATATTACCGTAAAAGTTATTTCCGATCGGTCCATAATTGGTCATAGCTCCCATACAAGGTCCCCTCCCGAAAATCACTTAAAAGCGCATAACTTATTACTAAATTAAGATATCTCT